CTCAAGTTTATTCTCTTTCCCTTCTCTCTTTCCTCCTTCCTTCTCTTCCACTTTCCTTCCTTCTCTTCCTTCTCTTCCACTTTCCTTCCTTCCCCTCTTCCCTCCTTTCTTCCTTCCTTCCTTCTCTACCCCTTCCTTTCCACTTCCCCATCCTCCCCTCTTTCCTTCCTTCCTTCCTTCCTTCCTTCCTTCCTTTTCATTCTTCCCCTTTCCCATTCTTCCTTCCTTCTCTTCCACTTCCCCATCCTCCTTACTTTCTACCTTCCCTCTGTTCTTCAAGTCTAGCTCTCTGTTTTGTTTTTTCCCATCCTTCCCCTTCTTCCTTTCTTCCTTCCTTCCTTCCTTCTTTCTCCTTCCTTCCTTCCTTCCTTCCTTCCTTCTCCCAAGTTACCCCTACTAATTTGATCTTCCCACTTTCTCTTTTCCCCCGTTTTCTGTTGGCGCGTCCGTCCGCCCGAAGCCGAAGTCGGGGTCATTTTCGAGTGAAAGCAAAAGCAAACTCGTATCTTTCTCGCATGACCAAGCAGGCAGTCCGGTCGCTCAGTCGTCTCCCGAGCTGTGTTGGAGAGCGATTATTTGAATGCTTTCACGATCCTGTTTTTCTTTTTTTTTCGTGAAGGACGTAACTGGTTAGGCTGTGGGAATGGTTGGAATCCGTGCGTTGCTTTGTGTTGTTTAGTGGGTTCGTTGTTTTGTTTTATTCTTCCTCTTCCTCCTCTTTCTTCTTCGCCCCCTTTCCCTGTCACTCTCCCCCTGTCCCTGTCTCTCCCCTTCTCCCTGTCCCTCTCCCCTTCTCCCCTCTCCTTCTCCCTCTCCCTCTCTCCCCTCTCCCTCTCTCTCCTCTCCCTCTCTTCCCCCCCCTCTCCCTCTTTTCCCTCTCGTTCCACGTTCGAAGTTCCCTGAGGCAGGCCAGTCTAAACCTTCCCTCACGTTTCGAGAGATTTGCCTTTTAATCCATTGCGGTAATTCGCTCAAGGCGCTGATAATCACGACCTTGTTTCTGCTCGGGAGTTTTTGGCTATTTTTATCGGAGTTTTTTTTTTCCCCATTTTATTCTTCTGTTCTGTTCTTTCGATTTTATTTTTTTTATCGTTTTTTTTATTATTTATTTTTCGGTCTGTTTCTTTTTCACTGTTCTTCGCTGTTCTTCGATTTTGTTTTGCTTTTGTTGGTGTTTTTGTTTCTTCTTTCTCCCTCTTTCCACTGCCTCCTTACTTTGATTTCTTTCTCCTGCTCCTCCTTCCTCCTCTTCCGTTTTTACCTCCTCCTCCTCCTCCTCCTCCTCCTCCTCCTCCTCCTCCTCCCTTCCCCCCATCCCTGGTTTGTCCCTTCCTCCACCTCTCCTCCTCCCTCTTCCTTATTCCTTCTTCCCTCCTCCTTCTTCCTCCCTTCCCTCCCACCTTTTCTTCCACCTCTAACCCCCCCTCCTCCTTCCCCTCCTACCCTCGCTCCCTCCTTCCTCCTCCACCTCCCACCTTCTCGCCCTCCTTCCTTCCACCTTCCCTCCCTCCTCCTTCCCCTCCTCCCTCCCTCCTCCCACCTTCCCTCCTCCCATTCCCTCTCTCCCTCCTTCCTCCCTCCTCCCTCTCTCCCTCTCCTCCTCTCCTCCTTCCTTCCCTCCCTCCCTCCCTCCTTCCTCCCTCCCTCCACCTGCCACCTTCCCTCCCTCCCTCCCTCCTTCCTCCTCATTGAAACGCATCACTCTGCATCGAAAGGGCAAATCATTGCAGATTTTGCAACCTTCCTTCTCTGTTGCAAGGGTCGAGGGTGAATTGCAAAGGTCGGAGGTGATTGATGGCTTGATCGAGATGGATTATTATCCTTGACATTAAGGGTGCGATGGCGAGTGTCATGGGGGGAGGGGGGGGGGGAGAAGGAGGGGCGGTATACGGATTCGTGTTGTTTTGTTTGTTTGTTTTCTGTCTTGCTTGCTTTTTTTTCTTTTTCTTTTTTTTCTTTCTTTCTCTCTTTTCCTTCTCTTTGTTTTATTGTTCTTCTCTCTCTCCTTCCGTCCCTTATTCTGTTTTATGTTCTTTTATTCGTTCCCTTACTTTCTATCTATCTTTTTCTTTTTTATCACGTCATCCTCGTTTCTTCCTCTCGTTCGTGTCGCTAGGGAGACTTTTTTTTAGTTTTTTTTAAATTTTAATCTATTCGTTATTTCTGTATATTTTGTCTTTTTTTCTTATTCTTACTCCTCTCCCCCCCCTATTCCCTCTCCCCCTCCCCCCATTCCTCATCAGGAGGATAATCATTTAGCCTCCCGTGGAAATCCTCTTCAAGGTCATGACTCAGCAGTTTTTTTTCTTTTCTTTTCTTTTCTCTTTTTGTTGTTTGTTTTTCATTTCTTTTGTTTATTTTATTCTATTTTCTGTTAATGCTAGTTTTGTTTTCCTGTTATGTCCAGACGCATTGCAAGTCACGAATTCCCCTAAATATTAAGACGCTTCAAGTGATCATTGCATTGACTGTTTGAGTGTTATTTTATGTTTATTTTTATTATTTTTATTATTTTTTTAAGATAATGGTGGTCGGGAAATTATATCTTGGGGTTACTTCGAAATTTCGTAAATATCACGGAAGATAAAAAAGAAAAAATATATATATAAACAGCTGGAAGCGACAGAGCGGAGGGAAGGGAAGGGGAGGGGAAGGGGGGAGAGATGCGTAAATGTTAATAGCGTCCTCCATTTGCATTCTCTGGAGCATAATAGGCTACGCTGTATGCACAACGTTCATACATAATTGTCTTTCTTTCTCTTTCTCTCTCTTTTTCTTTTTCGCTTTTTCTGTTTCTATTTCTCTTTCTTTTTCTCTTTATCTTTCTCTCTTTTTCTCTTTCTCTTCTTCTTTCTCTCTCTTTTTTCTCTCACTCTCTCACTCCCCCTCTCCCTCCATCTTCCTCCATCTCCCTCCATCTCCCTCTCTTTTCCTCCCTCCCTCTTTTATTTTCTCTCTCTCTCCACGCATTTTGAGTTTACGCATCGAAGGGGAAGGTGGTCGGAGGGGGGAGGGGGGAGGGGGAGATGAAGGGGACGGATCTCCGACCGCACAAAACCTGCTTAGCTTGCGGTCGCATTACCTTGTCCTGCGGTCACGTTCCGGGCCTCTGGGAGCGGCCGCAGGAGGCAAGGGAGCCTGACGAAGGCGTGTGTCGAGGTCCTGGAGGAGGTGTCGTCGTGGCGGTTGGGGGGGGGGGGGATTTAGGGGCCAGATGTCGCTGGTTCTAAATGGGAATTGGGGGGAGGGGGGGTTTGAGGTCCACTGCGGTCTGTTTTTTCTTGGTTCGTGTACGGATTGTTACGAGCTTGGGTGTTCCTGTTGGAGAGAAATGCATTTGTTCTTTTTGTTTTGTTTTAGTGTTAAAGGTTTTTTGTGATTGGAACTTTGAGGAAGCGTAAAGAAATTGCAAGGAAGCGTGGCCTGTGGCGCCGCGCCTGTGTCACTCGGAGCGCAGAGCAGCCGCGGCGCGAGCGATGAGCGGCCGCCCAGAGTCCGCGTGAGGAGCGCCGCGCAGCCCACGGTCAGGATGCACCCGGACCCGGACTACTCGGACCTCGAGCACGACTCCCTGGACATCGCCCGGGACTCGCTGGAGCCATGCTACGCCTTCCCGAAGGACGACCTCCTGTACGACAGCCTGCAGCCCGTGCCGACGGGGCACGGCCTCTTCGGCGGCCTGGATGCCGGCTTCCCGCTCGGCGGCAAGATCCGCTTCAACCCGCTGTCCTTCCACATGCCCGGCATCGGCGACGACGACCAGGACTACGAGGAGATGCTGCACGACCACAGGGCCTTCGACGCCGTCCTGGGCGAGGCCGAGGGCGACGCCGACGGCGAGCAGAAGTACTCGTGCCGCAGCGAGTACATCGTGGCCGGGGGCGAGTACCAGACGCCGTCGCCGCCGCCCGCGCCGCCGCCGCAGCTGGTGGACGTGCCGCTGCTGCGGAAGGCGCTGAGGGCGTCGCGGGACGACCTTCGCGATGAGCGCCCTGCCACGCCGATCCTCAGCCTCCACAGGCACGGCGCGAGGAAGGAGCAGGAGGGCGAGGAGGTCAAGGACGAGCTCGCCGACAGCGACTTCGACAGCTTCGAGAGGAAGAGGTCGGTGACGGAGTCCGCCTCGACGGACAGCTTCTACGACACGCCGGAGGGGGACGTGTACGACCCGTCCCTCCCTTACATCCCGCCCGCCCTCCAGCTGGCGCCGAAGACGGCCCTCAAGTCCGGCTTCAAGACCAGCCGCCTGAGCGTGAACTTCGAGGACGACATCTACGACCCGTCGCTGCCGCCCATCCCGCTGGTGGACGACCCGCCTGCGCCCGCCCTCAAGTCCGCGCTCAAGGGCAGCGTGAGCTCCCGCCGCAGCACCGGCAGCGACCTGAGCGAGATCACCAGCATCTCGCCCGGCCTCGACGACTGGCACGAGACCCTGGGCGCCACGTCGAGGATGGGCTGGGCGATCATCCTCTACCACGCCGTCAGGAACAACTTCAAGCCGCGCGCCTTCGCTCACCTGGCCTTCCAGGTACTCGCTCGCGCGGAGGGCGGAGGACGACCTCGGTTTCTCGTCACGCGCTTATTATGCCATGTATTTATTTTTTTATTATATTAGTTATTTGGTTATTATGCCATGTATTTATTTTTTTATTATCTTAGTTATTTGGTTTTGTTTTGTAAGTTTATTGTATCTTAGGCTTTTTTTGTTTGTTTTTATTTGCTAATTTACCAATATTCTTTCTTCCAGATATCAACTTCTCACCCTATGTCACGTTGCACATTGTTCATTTACAACCACACCTTTACCAAGAAATCCTAACAAATTAAATATTTACGCACATAAAATAAAAAAATAATGGCCACAACAACGGAAACAACAGAAACAACAACAAAAACAATAACAACAGCAACAAAAAGACCAACAACAAAAAAATAACAGGCTATAAAAATAGACCTAAAAAAAACAAAATCCTAACGCCTCTCTCTGTCTCCTTTCGCAGGGAAGCCGCGAGTTCGTGCGCGCCATCGCCGACTACATGACCACCGGCTCGACGCTCCTGAACTTCAAGAAGGGAGACATCATCAGGATCATCACCACGGACCAGTACGGCGACAATGGTGCGTTGATGATGATAATGATAATAATAATAATAATGATAATAATAATAATAATGATAATAATAATAATAATAATAATAATAATAATGATAATAATAATAATAATAATGATAATAATAATAATAATAATGATAATAATAATAATAATGATAATAATAATAATAATAATAATGATAATAATAATAATAATAATGATAATAATAATAATAATGATAATAATAATAATAATAATGATAATAATAATAATAATAATAATAATAATAATAATAATGATAATAATAATAATAATGATAATAATAATAATAATAATAATAATAATAATGATAATAATAATAATAATAATGATAATAATAATAATAATGATAATAATAATAATAATAATAATAATAATAATAATAATAATAATAATGATAATAATAATAATAATGATAATAATAATAATAATGATAATAATAATAATAATGATAATAATAATAATAATAATAATAATGATAATAATAATAATAATGATAATAATAATAATAATAATAATAATAATAATAATAATAATAATAATAATGATAATAATAATAATAATAATAATAATAATAATAATAATGATAATAATAATAATAATGATAATAATAATAATAATAATAATAATAATGATAATAATAATAATAATGATAATAATAATAATAATAATAATAATAATAATGATAATAATAATAATAATAATAATAATGATAATAATAATAATAATGATAATAATAATAATAATAATAATAATAATGATAATAATAATAATAATAATAATAATAATAATGATAATAATAATAATAATAATGATAATAATAATAATAATAATAATAATAATAATAATAATAATAATAATAATAATAATAATAATGATAATAATAATAATAATAATAATGATAATAATAATAATAATAATAATAATAATAATAATAATAATAATAATAATAATGATAATAATAATAATAATGATAATAATAATAATAATAATGATAATAATAATAATAATAATAATAATAATAATGATAATAATAATAATAATAATAATAATAATGATAATAATAATAATAATGATAATAATAATAATAATAATAATGATAATAATAATAATAATGATAATAATAATAATAATGATAATAATAATAATAATAATGATAATAATAATAATAATGATAATAATAATAATAATGATAATAATAATAATAATGATAATAATAATAATAATGATAATAATAATAATAATAATAATAATAATAATAATAATGATAATAATAATAATAATAATAATGATAATAATAATAATAATAATAATGATAATAATAATAATAATAATAATAATAATAATAATAATAATAATAATAATAATAATAATAATAATAATAATAATAATAATAATAATAATAATAATAATAATAATAATAATAATAATAATAATAATAATAATGATAATAATAATAATAATAATAATAATAATAATAATAATAATAATAATAATAATAATAATAATAATAATAATAATAATAATAATGATAATAATAATAATAATAATAATGATAATAATAATAATAATAATAATAATAATGATAATAATAATAATAATAATAATGATAATAATAATAATAATGATAATAATAATAATAATGATAATAATAATAATAATAATAATAATAATAATGATAATAATAATAATAATGATAATAATAATAATAATGATAATAATAATAATAATGATAATAATAATAATAATGATAATAATAATAATAATGATAATAATAATAATAATAATAATAATGATAATAATAATAATAATAATGATAATAATAATAATAATGATAATAATAATAATAATAATAATAATGATAATAATAATAATAATAATAATGATAATAATAATAATAATGATAATAATAATAATAATGATAATAATGATAATAATAATAATGATAATAATAATAATAATGATAATAATAATAATAATGATAATAATAATAATAATAATAATAATAATAATAATAATGATAATAATAATAATAATGATAATAATAATAATAATAATGATAATAATAATAATAATAATGATAATAATAATAATAATGATAATAATAATAATAATAATAATAATAATAATAATAATAATAATAATGATAATAATAATAATAATGATAATAATAATAATAATAATGATAATAATAATAATAATAATAATAATGATAATAATAATAATAATAATAATAATAATAATAATAATGATAATAATAATAATAATAATAATAATGATAATAATAATAATAATAATAATAATAATAATAATAATGATAATAATAATAATAATGATAATAATAATAATAATAATGATAATAATAATAA